ATTCCAAAAATATTTGAAAATAAAAAGTAACTGAGCTTGATAATAGAAATTCAAATGGCAAAAGACAAGAAAAATCAAGCAAAAGTTCTAAGGATTAGGAAAATAAGGGAAAAAACTTTTCCTGATTTATCTTGAGGTCTGGAAATAATAGTAATACTATTAATAACACTACTAAAAATAGCTAATTCATATTCTAAGTATTTACTATTAACTACTTAATTCTCATCTAAATCCCAGGGAAGCCTTTTAAACAACTGTTTTCTCCACTTCAGATGGAGATACTGAGGCACAGTTATTGAACTAATAGTACTAGAGCCAAAATTCAAACCCAGGCAGGCTGTCGCTAATATCCAAGTACTCAGACTATAAAGTCTTAGGCTCAGTAACAAATATATATATATATTTACACATATATATATATACACACACACATATATATATCAAGTATATATATACTAGAAAGGATATACTCTAATTACAACTTTTACTAAAGAATCTTAGACATTTAGTCACTTAATATACTTAGAGAGTAAACAGCTTCACATCTGACAAGGAGCTGATATTGAAGATCTACAAAGAGCTCACACAACTCAACAAAAACCAAACAACCTAATAAAAAAAAGGGGGGGGGGGGAAGAGAGGTGGCATAAGAGCAAAACACACTTCTCCAAAGAAATGCAAACTGTGAACAAGCCTATGAAAAGATGTTCACCATCACTTGTTATTAGGGAGATGAAAATCAAAACTACAATGAGATACCACCTCACATAGGTGAGAACGGCTCATATTAAAAACAAACAAATACTGGAGAGGATATGCATAAAAAGGAACCTCTTACACTGCTGGTAGGAATGTAAACTAGTCCAGCCACTATAGAATGCTTGTGGAGGTTTCTCAAAACACTAGAAATGAATCTGCAAGAAGACCCAACGATTCCACTGCTAGAAATCTACCCAGAAAACATAAAAACAATAATTTAAAAGACTAATGCCCAAAATAGATAACTGGATTAAAAACATGTGATATACATACATGATGAATTCTACTCAATGATTAATAAAATAAATTCATGCCATTCGTGGCAACATCAACAAAAGAGTTGATGCTAACCAAGAGTTAAATCAGAAGGAAAAAGATAACTATCAGGGTCCCTCCCTGATGGCACAGGGGTAAAGTCTCAGCACTATCACCACTGCTGCCTGAGGTGATTCCCACATATGATGCCAGGGAGCTAACCCTGGCATGGTACAGCAGACCTCTCCTGTTTTGCCCACTGTTCCCCTTAGCAGGGAATTTAGGTGTAACTGCCTGTTCTGTTCCACACTCAGTCTCTGATGAATGCTCTCAGCCCCCACACCTATGGGCTACACCCCAGTTCTTCTATGCATAACTATACAAGTATCTTTTTTTAAAAAAAGATAAATATTGGATGGTTTCAGTTATATGTGAAATACAGAAAACCCAAATCAAGGGTCAAAGACAAACCTTGAAAGGTAACCATAGATATGAGGCATCCAGGTGGGGAAGGGAAAGAGGAGGGATGAAAACGTGTGTGTGTGTGTGTGTGTGTGTGTGTGAGAGAGAGAGAGAGAGAGAGAGAGAGAGAGAGAGAGAGAGAGAGAGAAACAGTGAAGAACACAGGAATGCGGTGATGGGCTATGGGTGCTTTGGTGGTGGGAGAACTATAGTGACACACGTGAGGGGAGAAACAATTTATCATCCACAAATCAACAGCAATATAAGAAAAAAAACACTACATTTAAAAATAATAAAAGTCAACAGGGACATTAAAAATAAAAAAAAAAATTTTTAAAGCATACAGTAACTCCAAAAGGTATGGTTCAGGAACAATAGTTGGTTCAGGAAATAATACAAGCAGGTATGTATCATGAAAGACATGTGATTAACTAGTTGCTAACTATATAGAGATATGCTTGAGTATATTTATATTTCTTTACTATTCGTAATCCACTAAACAAGGAATCATAAAACTTTTTTTGCCATTGAATTATTTTTTAAAGATTTATTTATTTATGCATACAGAACTGGGGTACAGGCCAGAGATGCAGGGGCAGTGAGAGGATTCACCAGAGACAGAGAGGGGAGCAGAACAGGCAGACTGATGAAGTACACTGCTGAGGGGAGCAGTGGGCGGGCCAGGAGAGGTCTGCTGCACCATGTGGATCACCTTCCAGGCAGGTGGGATCATGCGGAAGTGGCTTTTTAGCTTCTTAGTGCTGTGCTTTAACTCGCTGCACCACCAGGGAGGGCTTTGCCATTGAATTTTTATAGCAAAAACTTATCAACATTTATTGTAATTATAAAATGATGAACTCACTTTTGTTGAGCCTTCTTAAATTAATGTACCCTTATAACATTTTATATATGGAGATAAGGAAATTTTAGCATTCCTCAACACAGACATAAGGTTATATCAGCTGCAGCTTTAGCTTTTTCCTAACTAGTATATTACCTATTTGTTATTTTGTATCTTAATGATAATATGATTTGACCTACACAATATTCATGAGAAAAAAGTATTCTGTCACCTTGTAGGCATAATGCCAAATACTAACTGAAATCCAGCTAACAATTTATTATTGATTTTTCATTACCATGTTTCAGATTCACTAAATACACACAAACATACACACAAAAAAAAACAAAAAGAAACTAATGGGGCAAAAAAGTTCACTTCCCCAATTCCTTACTATGAAAACATGAAAGTAAAATTAAAAAAAAAAAGATACAAAGCTCAGTGAAGCAATCAACCACCACAAAGCTTTAATTAGAACTGTTTTGATATTTGTCTACCATTTAGTCAATATTAGATGCCATACAAAATTAAGCCTTAAAACTTTCATTCTAACTACTATGTATCTTTTTAAAATCTTTCTAGAGTAGGAAATTGCTACTGGCTGGAAGCAGAGCAGCTACTATAAAATTTTATCTATCTTTGATAATTTAAGACTATTCTAATCTTGTTTTATTTCTAGTTAAAGTAAGCAACAGCTAATTGTCACATAACCACAAGTTCTGAATAAACCTTAAAAATTAAACGCGAGTTTTCAGATGAAAAGTTAGTAAAACGGACAGCGACATACCTAACAAGACAGGAAACTAAAAGCCATGAAGAATGTGATAGGCTAGCTGATAAACTGGTACGGCTACGTATGTAGGTGGCAAAGGGAAACGGTGCAATAAAACTTGTTCTAGCAAAAATTCACCACATTTATTGTAATGGCGAAATGATAAAACCATTCACTTTTGCAGCAGTCCTAAATTAAAATCTTTATTGTAAAAGTACCATTAAAAATCTAAGCCCGGGCCCTCCTTGGTGGCGCAGCAGGTTAAAGCACAGGACTAAGAAGCTAAAGTCACTTTCACATGAGTTCGATTCCCGCCTGCCCCGGAGGCGACCACATGGCTGGCAGACTTCTCCTGACCCGTCCGCTGCTCCCCTCAGCAGTGTACTTCGTCGATCTGCCTGCTCTGCTCCCCACTCTGTCTCTGGTGAAGCCTCTCGCCCTTGAGCCTCTGGCCTGTACCCCAGTTCTGTATGCACAAATAAATCTTAAAAAAAAAATCTAAGCCCCCTTGTGAAATAAGCCAGAAAGAAAACGAAAAATATCGGAAGGTTTCACTCATAGCAGCAGTATAAAGGACCAGGGGAGAAAATAATAAACAACTATATACCAGAGATATTTTATGGGGATGGAGAGGGGGATGGGATCAGAAATCGATGGGGAGGAGGGGGTGTGCACTAAACAATGCTGATGGCACAAGAGTGATTTGGTGATAGGAAGCCCAGGGGGAATTACAACTGAGATGGGAAAAGGCACAAAATGATGTAAAAATAAACTATTATAATAAAAAAAATCTAAGCCCCCACTCAGACCACCCCAGGACATACAGAAGAAAGCAAAGACATACTGCCTCTACTCCCTGACAATCATTACCTGGAAAACCGTGAAGGTACCAAGGACGCTGACACACAAGCTACAGAAAACTCACTCCTCACTCATCAACTGGACCATTTTTCAGGTTTCTACTCTGAAACGAAGTGTTCCTCTCAAGGGCAAAAAAAGTAGCCCTTTCTGCGCGGCTTTAATCACGTACTCAATGCAGGGCCTTAGTGAGTAAAACGAGACACGTTCAACTCTGTATAACTTAGAGAAGCAAAAGGCAGCTCGGGTCACTCGCTCCCTGAAAAAGTCAGGTCGCCCCAAAGACGTTCTCTCTCTAAAGAGGGGTGGTTCCTATGGTTCCGTCTTATTTTCCAGGACTTCTCCGTAACCACATTTCCCGAGACCCTGCCCATCACGGATCGCTCCCACTTTAACAGGTATCGGAATGCGCCGTGCAATCATTCAAGCACAAAGCCACCGGGTCGAAGCACAAGCTAGCAAAAGAAGTCAACCGGGGGAGGGGGGCTCCGAGGGAGAGGGGTACCGAGGGAGAGGGGTACCGAGGGAGAAGGACAAGCTGGCAAAAGAAGTCAACCGGGGGAGTGGGGCTCCGAGGGAGAAGGACAAGCTGGCAAAAGAAGTCAAACGGAGGAGGGGCAAGCTGACACAAGAAGTCAACCGGAGAAGGGGGGCTTCGAGGGAGGGGGGCTCCGAGGGAGGGGGACTCCCAGGGAGAGGGGCTCCGAAGGAGAGGGTCGCGTCCGGCCGCAGGGCGCCGCAGAAGGCGCGGGGGCCACTGCCGGCCGCCGCGCCCTGGCCCACGGTGACTGCGCAGGACGGCGTGAAGTTTCTGGAAAGCGCGCCGGGGGCGAGGTGGGCAGCTGCAGGGGAGGAAGCGCGCGGACGACGGCCCCAGGCGGCCTCCGTCAGCCGGGGGACCCAGCCGAGGCGGGGAGTCAGCTCTCGCGGGCTCCGAGATAAACAAAGAACCGAGCCAGAGCCGAGCCCAGCCCACGCAGGCGCCGCCGCCAGACCGCCGTCCGCACCCGGTCCGGGACGCCCCGGGGCAGCGCGCGGCCCCCTGCCACTTACCAAGATGCGTTTGAAAAGGTTGCTCTCCTTGGGCGGCAGCTGCACGTTCGGCATCGCGGTCGTCGGGGAGGCAGGGAGCCCGGCCGCTCCGTTTCGCCGGGGTGGACACTGGGGCCAGCTGCTGCTAAGAGTCGGGTCGCAGGGTACGGGTTAGTTCACGGGGCTCGATTTGAAACCAGGCAGGGCTGTTAGACAGGGCTGGCAAAGGAATAGGAACCCGGCCGGAGGAAGACGCCCTCAGCGAGTACCCAGACGCCCTCAGCGAGTACCCAGTCTGTAGGTGAGCGGCGGCGGCTCCCGCGCGCCGCAAGATGGCAGCCAGGCCCGCCCCCTCGAGCTGGGCGGTGTGCGCATGCGCGGGTGCCCCGCGGAGCGGGCCGCAGAGGATTGGAGGTGGGGTGAAGGGACAGAAGGGTCGGTTTCCTCTCCAGAGCGGGCTAGCTAGGAGGCCTCCCGCCGGCGTTGGGGCTAGTGTTGGGCACCGCCCCTTCTGCCAGAAACTCGCGGTCGGGTGGGGTTCAAGCACCTTAGTCGTGACGCGTTCTGTTAGATTTGCAGGCCTAGAAAATGATAGTTATTTCGGACCATACTTTTTATTTTTTTCCCCTTTCTCCACTTCGGCAGGACATCATATATTCTTGATGTAGAACGAACTTATTTTCCCTACTCTTCCCCCCCCCACCCCATTTAGTGCTTCCAACTCTGTGCCACTCTCCACTACACATAAAAGACAGTGTCTAGAAAAGCTAGAAAGATAGGAATACATCAGTAAGGAGGATAAGCATACAGTGTAGGTTTAATTTTAAGAAGTATATGAACATTAGGGCCCTCCCTGGTGGTGCAGTGGGTTAAAGCACAGCATTGCAAGCTGGCCACATCCACTTCAGTTTCAGTTCGATCACTACCCCCCTCTCCGCCTCCCCCCTGCCCCCCCAGGTGATCTGCATGATGCAGCAGACCGCTCCTGTCTCTCCTGCTGTTCCCCTCAGCAGTGTACTTGTCAGTCTGCCTGTTCTGCACCCTACTCTGACTCTGGTGAATCCTCTTACTATCCTTGCGCCTCTGGCCTGTACCCCAGTTTGCATAAATAAATAAATCTAAAAAATAGTAGTATATGAGTATTAGGTGCATGCGCTTACCTATACATAGTCTAGGTATAATTTGTGCATATTTATGAGACTTCAGAGTACTTGATGCAAAGTTACATTTAGACTGTAATCAAAGTTGGGTTAGGGCTTATTTGCCATGTTTTTCATATACTCTGCCTGAGCTGGTCTGACATTGGAGAGTGTCATAGGAGTCTTTTAAAGTGAGGAAGAGATTTATTCAAGGAGGCAGTTATAAGGGGGCCTACATGTTCTGATAGAAACTGGCCTTCCCTAAGTGCTGTGAGGAAATAGGCCAGGAGAACTGCATGGGAAAGGAGGCTGAGTTGCACTAGTAGGTAACTGAGTTGAGGCAGAGAAGTACTGCTCACAGCACCTCATACCCAGCCATTTCCTTGAGTACTCACTGCCCATCATGGCATGACTGGTCACTGGATATTCTTTGATTTCCAATTTATCTACATCCTCAGAAGTAAAGATTTAATCCTGGGAGAAGCTGAAACGCCAGCAATGTTCGTCAGGCGATCCCCTGACTTTCACAAAATGAACGTTTTTGGAATGTATCTCACTCAGCCAGCGCAAGCCACTCTGCCTCACCTCAAATTACACAAGTTGCATAACTTTAAAATGACTAATTGAAAACAGAAAAACTGAATGTGGGAAGTATAGGATCAACTGTAAATATTTGGGAGACCAGTAAACTATCTCTTATGAAAATTTCCTGTGGGCTGTATCCAGTATAATTAATAAAAATTATTAAGTGTCCTCACTTTCTATGATAGCTGCTAGATCTTCACCGTGGCTTCCCACCCCTAAGTGAGCTGGCCTGTGCTGTTTCTTCATTTGCATTTTGTTGCTTGCCACCACTGCCAGCTTCTGCTTCCCACAACCTATCCAGGATCTCCGTGCAGCTCAAAGGAAACCTATAATATGAAACACTGGGAAGTGGGGAGTTATAGAGTCATATTTAATATTTTTCTTTTCTCTCTGTCACATGCCAGAACACACATGATGAACGCATACCTTGGATTTCTACACTAGGTGGGGGTGTGAGAAAACTTGGGGGATTGAAGAATACCAGTTGTGTTACTGGTAGTTGTCAAACTGACTCTAGCATGTAGAAAAGATGTAAAGCATGCACAATCAGAAAACCTGGATTAACCAAAGACTCTAATTTTATTACTGACTTCCTGTTTAGAACAAATCTTATTTTCACCTTTCAACAGAAAGTGGACTTTCAATAACATTACTGTTATCTGCTTCACAGCAGATTTAAATATGTATATAAATAAGTATACATACAAATAAATGCATATGTACAGATATATACTTTGAACTGTCTCTCAGGAAGAATGTTAAAGCCCCTATAGGGCCATGGTGGAACTCATTGATATTCCTGATACTTTAGACAGGGTATATCTCCTTTAGAATCACACAGTGAAATAATACTAACAGTGTCTGTAAAGACTTTTAACAGTTTCTGAAGCTTTTTTACATGATATGAGCCACTGGTTCTCTTGCCAAGCCTGTTTAAACTATGGACAAAAGAATCTGGAAAAGGATTTTCTCCACCCCATGTACACAGTAGAGACAGCTGGCAGGGTAAGTAGTTTGCTGCTATTCCCACAGCTAATTTAGCCATGTAATTAAAGTCTGATGGGAAAAGAACTCATCAGATTGCACAATGCATTACACCTCAGACTCTGATGTTTCTGCTCTCTTTGTCCTTCCCTGTTCTCATTTTGTACCAAGAAATAGCACTTCATGCCCCCTTTGAGGGTATGATCTCCTTTTGTTTTACCGAAACTTTTATTCATTAGTAATTCCCACTACTATTTGCATTTTCTTCTTCCTTATGTAGTTTATATTCTAATGGGAAAAGACAAACACCAAACACATAAACAAGATAATTCCAGACTATGGGAAATCCCATGAAAGAAATAAAGCTGGTTCATATGGAAGGCAATGAAGGTGAAGAAAGGACTATTTTCAAACAGATGCTCAGAAATCATCTAGAAAGTCCTCTGGGGAGTGATATCATGTGAACTGAGACCCAGAGAATGAGAACTTAATAAGGTGAAAAGTTGGGACAGCACATTCTAGGTAAAGGGAATCACAGGCAAATGCCCCAATGCAGGAACAAAAGTTCACACAATCAAGGAATGAAAGAGAGATGTGAACTTCAGGTTTAGGAAGGTGTCTGAAGGTGGGTGAGTGAGCAGGAAAGTGGCATGCAGTTGCTGAAAATGTTAGCCATGTTAGCCAGGTTGTGCATTGCTTGTCATCACAAGCAATCTGGTACGGTTTGGTTGATCAAGCCACAATGGGAAACCATGAAGCATTTTAAGGAGGAAAGTGCCACTTTGATTACCTATGGAAAACAGGCAAGGAATATCAGTTTCTTCTAGGAAAGTAGCAACTTTTTTAAAGATTAGCTTCTGCCTCCAATTGTCTTCTGAAAATATTCTCTGAAATGTTGCCAGTCCATTTCTTCAGTGAGCACAATATGAAAAGCAGTCTCCTAACACAAAAAAATTTCTGCCTTTCTGAAGCTTCCATGCTAAGGATTGCCTCGAATTTATTGCCTTGTGTGTGACCTGAGAGGAGTGACTGACAGTGCACAGTTAACCCTTTAGCCACTTCTCTCAGGTCACAAGGCAACATCTAGTAGCCAAATCCAAAGATTTTTTTTAAGACTTACGTATGTATACAGAACTGGGGTACAAGCCAGAGGTGTGGGGGCGGGGTGAGAGAATTCACCAGAGACAGAGTGGGGAACAGAAAAGGCAGAGAGTGTGAAGTACAATGCTGAGGGGAGCAGTGGGCGAATCAGGAATGGTCTGCTGCGCCATGTGTGTCACCTCCAGGGCAGGAATCAAACTCATGCTGAAGTGGCTTTAACTTCTTAGTGCTATGCTTTAACCTACTGCGCCACCAGGGAGGGCCCCAAAGATCTTTTTTTTAATCCATAGTTTCCTCAAGTTCTACATAGAATTTCTTGTAGTGGACTGTCCACTCCTTCTTGAGGTTGGCATCCTCCTCTCCTTACATACCATTGGTGAGGGAAAGAATTAATATTTTTTCCATTCTCTTGACCACACCAAGTCACAACATGTCACTTTCATTTAAGGAAAAGACATTTATTTTGTGTCTGTGCCCATCAATTGTTTCTTTTCTTTCCTCATTGGTCACTAGTCTTCATTTATTCATTTGTCAAGAGACATTAGCCCTCCTTTCTACTTCAACTCTTAGCATCATCTGCAATGATTCCATTTATCTATTGTGGGTGATTGGAGACCCTACCTTTGGATAAATAAACTGGTATATCCCAACAATGGGATATTATTAAACACTAAAAAGAAATGAGCCAGCAGGCATGAAAAGACATGGAGACATCTTAAGTGCATAACACTAAGTGAAAGAAGCATGTCTGTATATACATATGTCCAAGATGATTCCAACTATATGACATGCTTGAAAAGACAGTAAAAGCAGGGCCCTCCTGGGTGGCACAGTGGGTTAAAGTACAACACTATCGAGCTGTGCATAGCCACTGCAACGTAAGTTTGACTCCCAGCCTGGGAAGTGACCCATATGACGTGGCAGACCTCCTCTGACCCGCCTGCTGCTCCCCTCAGCAGTGTACTTCACACTCTCTGCCTGTTCTGCTCCCCACTCTGTCTCTGGTGAATTCTCTCACACACCCCACCTCCCCACACCTCTGTCCTGTATCCCAGTTCTTGTATACATAAATAAATAAATCTTAAGAAAAAAAGACAGTGAAAACATCAGTGATTGCCAGTGGTTACCAAGGAAGAGGATGGAACACAGAAGATTTTTTTTAGGGCAATGTAATTATTTTGCATGATTCAGTAATGGTAGATAAGTATCTTAAACATTTGTCCAACACTGGAGGATATACTACACTGACATGCATTTAGCCACTATGCTAAACTGTCTCCAACAACATGCTAACTGGTTTCCTTGTATCCTTGGCCAACCTCCTTCCATTCATGTTCTGCATTGCTGCCAAGAAAACTTGTATTAATTTCCTATTACAGCTGTCACAACTTTAGTGACTATGCACAACACAAATTTAGTATATAGTTCTGGAGATCTGAAGTCTGATGTCTGAAACGTAGGACTATGTTCCTTCTGAAGATTTTAGGAGAGAATTTGTTTCCTTGACTCTTC